TGTCCCTGTTGCCTGTGCAGTTAAAGTGAAATGATGCATGCTATAGATGCACATACACAAGGTTCATGTTCTTCCTTGCAGTTACATAACATGTGAGTTGACTGACTATCCAATTCCTCTGAAACTGTTCAGTTACTGAAAATGTTAACAGTTATTGCTCCTTTAATACAATTATATCAGGTTCACATTTTTCTTCACAATCGGAACATAAGACCTCAATTGAGTGTATTGGCGGTGGCACGAGTTGGTTAATAGAACTGACACTTGCATTCAGTTCTTTACAAAGTCAGACTGGACAGTGTCTCTAACGTGGTGGGCTTCTGGGAGTCAGGCGCCAGATTTCTGGGAGGGTTAGTTCCCTTGCTGGTTTCCCATCCCAATTCAATGAGATCTCATCCAAAGGCCCGCAATTGTTTCCTCCAGCCTGCCCAAGGTACAGTGCTGCTTTTGTTCCAACCCTCCATCGGCTGTGAATACAGTCCCAGAGCCAGACAGACCAGTAGGGTGTGTTATCAGGACTCTTTGTCCTGGTTCCCCTGCACAGCTCCCCATCCACAGAGGCTCCAGGCTCTGTCTCTGATGCCTCAGCAGCATCTCTTCCACTTCACATGTTATGTTTCAATGTTGTTTCAATGTTGATTAACTCTACAAATATTCATACACACCAATTCAGACTGTGACCTTGATTGGAGTCATTTTTCTAAAATAAACTTGATGAAATCCTTATCCTGCCCTAAGAGGACCAAATAACTGTTTTCAGCATTTTCCAGTGTTGCCGAATATTTGTCAATGTAAGTAGCTTGCACTATAGCTCCAAAGAACTTGAAGTTACCAGAAGACATCATGTTCTCATTTGCATATCAGTGACATCATGATGCATTCATTTGCATAAAACCATAGAACAACTCCATGCTGTCAGCAGAACCACCGTGAACTTAGATTACTCTGAGCAGGGAATTAACTACAATATAGCATATTAAAATACTATCACAATATTCTTGCTTTTTCCCTCCTGGCCTAAATAAGTTACACTTTGATATGCTGTGTTGCTTCAAAGCTAACGGAGGATGTGTCTGTCTCCAAGCCGCTGCACGCTCTGCTACGGGGAAGCAAGTTGTTGTTGTTTTCTTGTTTGTGCCACTTTGGATTTAATCCAAACAAACTATCCCATTTGCAGGGATCAAGGGTGTTATATAGAGTGGTGCACACTGAAAAAAATAAAAAATAAATACTGTAACGTTGACTTTAATTAAATGCATATGTCAGCTAATTTCTTATATCTGTATTAGGGTTAGTAAAAAACAATAATAATAAGTTGTAAGACTTGTTTTATATTTTAACTTAATATTATTGCTCTCAACTAACTTAGTACAGTTATGTGTAATCTGTTGACATAATACATTTAATTAAACAAAAAGGTTTTCGTTTTTCAGTGCAGTGATGAGGTATGTAGGTGCACCCGGGAGTTAGCATTGCACGGCGTCATTGACAAAAAGAAATGGGTGTTTTGCATTTGATTGCAGATTAATGCAGAAAATAAGATCTGTGGCAAACACACCTTAATGATACTAACAGGTATTGTTAAGCAGGATCATCTCATTTACACCACATTTATGACTTCTGAAAAGTAAATGCAAACGCCAAAAGTAAAAAGCTTAGGTGAAAAAGAACTATATCATGGTTTCACGACAGCGCATCGACACCGCAAATTCTGCCATGAGGAGAGCAGTGTCATTTAGTCACTTGTTCGCTTCCACCATTTTAATGACACATCGGACCTTCAGACATTCACCAGTGGGGTGTTTACTAAAATATTTGTGAGGGGGAAAAAAAGTGAACATCTCTTAAGCTTGTGTTAATCACAGACCTTATTTCAGGCTTCTAACCCAAAAACGTGTTGATCTGTTGATAATGTTCAACAATGATTTAATTGCACATTTAACTCAAGTCTATTTAAATCAAATAGTAAACTAAATGGGAAGATAGCTGCCTCAAAGGAGGAACTTACCCTGCATGTCATTTGCAAACCAGAACAAGGAACTTATTTACAGCCAAACCATGATATTTCCCAACCCTGATCAAGTTTTTTTCATGTATAAACCGGAACCAAATCTTAACCATTTGGACAACCTTTAAAAGCCTTTATAAGCCATCAATACAATTGAATGACTGGAAGCTGTTGATGATGGCAGCTGCTGCTGATAATCAAACATGCATACACACACTCTGCTTATGGAAATGATTGCTTCAGTTGGAGTAAAGATCCCTCGGAGGTAGATGTTGGTTGGAAAGCGTAGTGAAAGTGGAAGAGACTTGAAAAGCATGTGTGGCTCAGGTGCGCGGTGCAGTGCTGTAGAGCAGAAGACAGAAGGTGCAAAATAAAGTGAATCTTGACACCAAAATTACAGTGCATTGGTTGATTGCTAGTGACACTCCCCCCACTGCATCTCTTCAAATGGCGAGACGTGGAAAAACCCGGCCGACAGGCGCAGTGAGATGCATTTTCCTGGATGTAGAGAGAATGCCAGAGGCAGTACGCTCGTACAGAGATAAAGCCCTCTGGCCTCACTCTTCTCAACTCACTGTAGGCTGTCAGTTCAGCATGCTCTCAAATATTATGTTGAAAATTGATTGTACAAATGTTCAGGTCACTCACTGATGATGTTATGCGAAGATTCAGATTCATTGCTGCCCTAAAGGTGGTTATCTGATTTTAAAATCTGCAAAACAGTTAGAAGGTGTACAGAGATCCTTAACAGTGCGGTTATTGAATCTGGCAGGATACTCATCACTTTCTACTTACTCATAGCAGGTAAATGGTACACACCAGTCTCTGAGTGAGAAACTAAACCAAGGAAAAATGCAAAGAGTGGCCCTATTCAGATGTGTTCATAACGTCAAGGTAACAAATACTGAAGACTGACGCAGAGGAAACTTCCCCCGACGAATAGGACATCTTCAGTGAATAACACTGCCGTGACTTCGCTAACTTCAGTCAGTAGCTGTGAACTACACCAGGTGCTATACCTTCTAGCATCCTTTCAGGTCACACATTTCAACATGACACTTCATGATTAACAGTTCGAAACAAATCTTCCACATAATGTTTTTCTAAGCAGAACTACTCATAATATCCTATTAACTCTCATCAAAACTCTCCCTGTTCCAAATAATGATATTTGTTCTATCAAATGTGCTATTAAGCCTATACTTGTATTCCTTTTACATACATTACATTTCCTGCTAAAAATGACATGTGCTGTCTTTCATTATTTTGCAAACCGCAATGCATGCTTATCAGTTATTACTTCTAAATGTGTGTTTTCAGAGAGATCGTTCCCTTCATGTGATGCACCACAGTCATGTTAACGGTAATAAAAGCAACATGTGTTCAAAGAACTGGTCCCTTATTCCGCTTTTCTCTAGCACAAGGATGAGTTTGGAACAAAATGCCAGCTACTTGACATTAAATTAAAATGATTGAAATATATGTACTCTTATTGGTAGCAGCCCTACAATCAGCTTTTGTGGATAACATGACAAAAACAGCTGATTTTGTTATGTTCCTTTTAAAAAGCTTTGAAAGGCCTCCCCTGAAACAATGTCATATTTAGGCAATTTGTGTTTTTGTGTGTTTATGGAAAATGTGCTATTTTTGGATAGTTATAATAGAAACAACATTTGTAAGTGTTCACAAATATTATTTGGTGTAATAAGCACGCTTTTAGGAGTGCATTTACCTGCAGAGAGAGACACATGTGTGTTTCTGTTCTTTGTTGCTTTGCAATCAAATCAACTATAGCTAATAAATAAGAGAATTGTAAGACTGCTAGTTAAATTCCAGGTAAAGTGGTCTGAAACAGCTTTTTCAGAAGCTGCAGAGATAGATGCTACACAGAACGTGCACATGGCTCACTGCAGAATGAGATAAGTAAAGGTAATCAGAGCAGCCGTGAAAATGATGCACTGACAAAAGTATAACATCAACTCATGTCACTCCTTTGCTTCCATATTTCAGTCAAATCGGACACTGAAGAGAGTGTTCAGTGTCTGAAGGACGGAATTCTACGGTCTGTCAGTAAGCGCAGTCACACACACCAACAATTTCAAACCTGATTTCTTTACATATTGAATATTACCTGATCCCATCCCCTGAATTAAAAATAATTTAGTTTTGCATTTAGACATGAAGAACATAAGCTCAATGCTTACAGATCCTCACACAACAATCACCTTTAAAAAACACAGGACATAAAAAACTAAATAGCACTTTTTTCTAAACCACGATGGTTATCATTAAACAAAGGATGAGTGGAGTCTCCTAAATTTGAACACATTCAGCAATATCAGTGACTCCCAATTACAATGTAGCAACACATATTCTTCTTTTGGAATAGAGAGGTCAGACAATTATTACTTAATCTCAGACTATATAATGCCTCCAACTTTGTGTAATATTTATATTATTTGTAATCTGGCTGTCGACGTCGAAAAGCCATGGGCCAGGAATATCTGAAGTAATTTCTATTCAGATTGTTCCTAAAACTACAGTTCCTATTGAGCTGTAATATTCTAAAACAATATCTCTGTCCTGTAAACATGAGGACAGAAGATGGCTGTAAAATCAAGATGTCATATGGCTCTGAGCATTTCACTTTACATTGAATTTTGATTCTATAAAAATAAGAGTTTAAGAGTCTTAAGCTTTTTCAGTTTGCAGTGGAGTTAGTTCTAAAGCAGCCAGGCAGCCAACAGGTAAACTGAGACAGCACGTGCACCAACATGACACCCAATTAACCACGGCATATCCATCAAGCCATCTAATAGAGCTGATGTTCCGCCTCATGTGAGGATTTTCACAAAGAGAAGAAACCCTTTAAAGAGCCCACCTCTCTAATTGTCGTATAAAGATAAACTGCGATAGAAAACCCACAGACCAAACGCCGATCGTTTTTGTTTCTTTTTACTTCAGTTAAGAAAGTTACACAAAAGGTGGCAAATGTCTCGACAATAAATAATAAATAAATGTTGTTGCACGGGAACAAACGAAGCATTTTTCTTCCAGAACTAACGGTATTTTTGACTTAAATATACACATCTTTGGGAAAGAAAAAAAGAATTCTCGGACGGACACTGATTCACACAAATGTCCCACGAAGCTTGTGGCAAAAGAGAGGTATACCTTGTTGCAAATGCTTTCGGGTCATGAAGGAAACCGTGTAATTAAATGAAGAAAAGCAGTGCTGTTCCCCTCCTCGTGGTCTATTACAGGATGAAGTGCGTGGACCGAATATTTAAAAAAGTCACCAGTCAATGTTTCTATTCAAAGTAGCGCACATCATTTCGTAAGATCTAGATGTCTCTCCTACTCTGAGGTCCCATTTATGGATGGTTCATGTCTTCTCGTTTTGGCAACTATAATCAGGCGCGTGCGCGTGCAGCACCGGCCATGACGCATCCGTCCGCCTCTTCGGGATGGACATTATAGAATGAGGCTGTGGTAAAATCCCATGATTGTCTTCACAGTGTCAAAATACAACCAGGGGGGTTGTTGGTGCAGTCGGGAGGGATGGGATGAGCAGGAGGGGTGCTCCCGTCAGTCCTCAGGCCTCGATGGGGCTGGACACCATGCTGTTCGGCGTGTCCGGAAGCTGGGACGACATGGACGCTACCTCGCTGCCCGTCGAGTTGGAGCCCGGCCCACCCTCCGAGAAGCTGACCTGCGGGACAAGAGCAGCGGTCAGACACATGGACACACCGCGAAGGAAGGTTGGAGATGCCCAAACCAAAAGCTGCTATGGATACATGTTCTGGTGCATTTACATCCGACTATCGTTTACATTATTATCCAGTTTTCCCACAGCTTCCTCAGTTGTTAATGTCTCATAATGTGTAATAACACTGCTATATTTAATATATAGCCTACTGTTTACAGGCTGACGCTGTCATTTCAATACCCAGACTGTAAGCCCACTGTGGAGAGATAACTCTGTTATATTCCCTTTTTACACACATGTAATGCTTCCCTGCTACCTCCTTTTTGTATATTCACATAATGATAGGCTACATGCTTACTTTAGTTTTTAAATGGATTTCTACTTATTGGATTTTGTTTTATTAACGTGTGCTTGCCTCTTTATTAATTACCTCAACTACTTGTTTGCCTGTTTTCTGCACTGTCCCTTTGATCTAACATTGTACACTTCTACACTGTGGGACGAATAAAGGATTTCCTTGGTCTCATCTACATATGAAAATGAACTTGCAAAACATTTAAAAAAGCACACTGGAGGCTCGCTATGATTAACTGTGTGTGTGCCAAGGCACACAG